TTTTTGCAGATATAATTAACATATGGATTTTGAAATGAGATCAGTCTGGTTTAGAGTGGCACTAAATCCAAAGATAAGTCCCTTTGCAAGAGATAGAGAGAAATTTTGAAAACATACCCAGAGAAACATAAAAGAACATCACATAAAGGTGAAGCAATGAAATGCCATGATTTTGCCAAAAACCAAGAGAGCCCAAAAGCCATCAAATCATGAGGTAGCAAGAAATAATTGTTTTGTGAAAGCTCCTTGATGGAGTCAGCACAATAACTGGGGACACTGAACCTGAGAACTGTGAGATACTCGTTTTCTGTTGTTAAGTCATACGGTTTGTGGAAACTTAAGGTATTCACAGATCTATGAAAACAATACACCATGTAAATACTCCTCTTACTAGTTTTGTTTTTTTGTTTTATGGGGTTTTTTTTGTCTTTGCTTTTTTTTTTTTTTGGCCATCTTTAGATGAATACTGTACTTTGCCAGAATCCAGCTGTTACACCATTTCTCTTCATTTATTGCAACTATTTTGGACTGTATTTTGTAATTTGGCAATTTTTCTTCTTTTGACAGAAAAATAAAAATACTTCTTATTCTACTTTACAAGTTTTTTCGATGAAATCTCATTTTGAAGAAATATATTTGATAGCATTATGGGCATGTGTATGTTAAAGTATGTTATAACATTTTCTATTTTCTTTTGTATTGCTTAAGTAATGCAAAACAAACTGACTAGCCAAGAGAAGGCAATCACAGATTATATTAAGACACTGGAGCACATCTATACCTCATGATATTTCACAACCACTGAAGACAATGTTTAAAAACAGCTCTACTAAAGAATTTTTTTCTTAACCTGTAAGAAAGACTGTAAATGTATAATCAGTCATAACTGTGTGTTCATGAAACCATGAAGAAAAGCACTCTATAACTTTGTATGACATTATATATTTTATATAAAAAGCGTACATTATGGGACCAGTAGGTGGCATAGTGGTTAAGGCACTCAATTCCCATATGGCTGACTGCAGTTCAAGATCTGGAACTCGTAGGTTGAAACACACTGGGTGTGGGTGTGTGTGCATGGCCAAAATCCCAAGAAGAAAATGGAGGAAAAGTTATTGTGGTGTGGTCAGCAACCTGGGGAATCATGGTGATTTCTCACTTTCTAACTCTGTCTCTGCCTGTTCAGTGAGCACACATGCCCTATAGCAAAAATCACTTCCAAAAAAAAATTAGATAGGTTCCAGAAAGAAAGTGTCAAGGCACAGCACAGTAGATAATTTAAATTTGTTGTAATTATTTTTATTTATTCTGAACACTAATATGGGTACATAAGAAAGTACAAATTTATAAACAAAATGTGTAGTTCTGTGTGATTGTGAACACTTCAGATAGTAAATAATCACTGTAGGAAAAATACAAAGACAAAAAGATTCCAGAGATAAAAAACAGACAAAAGAAGGGGATTCCCTGTCCTGGAGAACTGGTCTTAAGTCTGAGTGGCTGCTAAACAGGTAGGTCTTTAAATAAAGAGTAGTTGTATTAAATAATGTTTTTATTAATTTTTTTGTGGGGGGAAGAGAGGTTTTTGCTATAGAGTGCATGTACTCACTGGCAAAAAAGAGAGACAGAGAGACAGAAAGCGAGAAATCACTCCCCAGGAGGGATGGCCATGCTTCAATCCCTTCTCCTCCATTCTCCTCTCAGGATCTTTGACACATAGGCACACCCGCCCCGCATGAGTTTAAGTCACTGGATCTGGGACTTGAACCGTGGTCAACTGCATGACATTGCAGTGACATAGCCATTAAGCCATCTGCTGATCCCTTAAATAATGTTTTTTAAAATGTTTATCGAAGTGACCTGTATTTCATTTTCAGTCAGGTAGATATCTTCCTAGATGTGTGATTTGGCACCCTAAAATAAAAAAATAAAAAATACATGTTTATTAGTAGAAATGACATACTTTAATTTCCATGAAATTTAACTAGGACAGAGCATTAACTGTCTTTTTTTTTTAGCTTTATTTATTTATTTTTATTATCATCATAATCTTGTATATAATACATTGGATTACATGTAACTTTACAGTGTATTGCATTGCTTTTTCAGAAGGAAATGCCAAGCATTACCTTTCTGAATAAGGATCTCACAATCAAGTATGCTGAACACAGCAAGCATAGCACATTTGTCACATGACACGCTTTTCTTAAGGTTTGGATTTCTCGATCTGGTTTAATTATGAGAGTAAAAATAAGAAAAGAAAATCTGTATCAATTATCAAGGACCTTAAAATAATAGCCAGAGAGATTTTAACTTTTTCTGAAAGTAGTTTTAATAATTAAATGGTATTTCCCTGCCAAGAGATTCTGTCCACTGTGGGAGTTCTGTGCTGATGAGGGACTGCAGACGTGGATGAATCTACCCAAACAGATGTAGTTTCACAAAGTGACCAGAATGCTTGCCCAGCAGCAGAGGTCTTCTAGAAATTAAATTGATACACGAGAGACTTCCCTCAGGGTGAGAGTGATTATTCCTATTTAAGAGTAATCCTCAGGGTGAGAGTGATTATTCCTATTTAAAAGTAATTGATATTTGAACCAAGCAAAAAATACTGGAGAAAGAGTGAATTTCTGAGAAAAAGAAGTTACCAAAATTTTATAGTGCAAAAACCACCTATACTCTATACAAACAAAATGAACATCCATGAAGGTAAGTCAAAATTGTGCTGTTAGACAATGTTGAGAATATTTCTGAATTTGAGGATTAAGATTCAAATAATAAGAGCATGAAATCTTGAGAACATTTTCTGAAAATGAGTTAATTAGATAATATATGTCATGTAACTCTTCAGTATAAAGTTAAATAAAATTAGGTCTCTGTCAAATAATAATGACACTAATAATAAAAATAATTCTTTTAAAGTAACTTTGATAACTATTACTAATGGAAGTATGTAAATGTTCTTTATTTGTCTGGTCATTTTCATTTATCAGTGTAATAATGTGGAAAGATCAGCTGATGGGCTTAGATGGTGTACATGAAGTAGATATGAGAAGATAGACACACACATAAATATTTGTTTTGAAAAGTTGGAAAACAAATTCTGAAAAATTGTAATGAGAATCATCAAGTTATGCTGACTTGCTAATTTTATACCAGATGGCATGAATATGAAGTATAGCACCTTGACAAGATTTTTTTATTTTAATTTTGTTAGAGAAATTTTTAGTATAGGACACATACATTTATTTGAGACAGAAAGAACAGAAAAAGGAAGTGAGAAATCACCTCCCAAGAGGGATGACCCTGTTGCAGTCCCCTCTTTTCCATTCTCCTTCCAAGATTTTGGGTATGCAGGTACACTTACCCAGTGTGAATTTCAGGATTCTGGATCCAGGACTCAAACTGCAGTGTACCAACCACTATGGCACCTCCTGGGCCCAGAGACAGGCTGTTTTTAATGATTTTGCTTTATTTTGTTTTTCAATGCTATCCATGTACTTTGGCCACTTGTATGTACAGAGTAAATAATAGTTAGGTTTACTCAAAATTATACTTCTATAAGGCAACATTATGATGATAAAGTAGAGAAAGGGAGTTGCATTTGAATGTAAGGTAATTATATGTCAGTAAAGAATATCATGTGGATAGGAGATATATGTAACAAGTATTAAAATACATAGGTGGGACCAGCAGATTAGTAGGGGTTATGTTTCTTGCTTAAGTTAAAAGATAATTAATATTTATCACAAACCATATAAGAAATGTTAATGAGTAAAGTTGATGAACAGTATGCCGGGATTATTATTTTCATATTTAGCATAAGTAAGGAAAGAGATGCATCAATTACAGCAATAATGCATACAATAATGCATACAGTTTAAGAAAAGTGATCCTCATTGGAGTATTAAAGAGAAAACTCAAAACTTATTTTGACTCTGGCAAGGGCACGGGCCCTATGGACAAAAAAAATCTTTTAAAAATCATTTTTCAAATAAAAATTAAATTAAAACTTCAAGACAAAGATATTCTTTGAATTAAAAATATATGAAACATGAAACCAACAGTTAGCGTAATGGCTACGTCGCTGGACTCCCACGTAGTCGACCACAGTTCACGTCCCGGACCCAGTGGCTTAAAACTCACGCTGGGCGCATGTGCGCGCGTGCCCAAGATCCTGAGAGGAGGAGGATAGAGGAGAGGGGATTGCGGAGTGGCCATCCTCCCTGGGGGGTGATTTCTCGCTTTCTGTTTCTCTTTATCTCTCTGTCTGGCGAGTGCACGCGCCCTATAGCAAAAAAAAAAAAACCTCCAAAAAAAGAAAAAAATATATATGAAACATGATGTCTAATATAAAGAGATTAAACCAAGGCAAAACAATAGAAATAGCCTGTATCCTAAATCCACTCTTACTGGTGAAATAATGAGATTATTATTTTCCTCACCATTTTCTAAATAACGCACACTTCTCACTCAGTACTTCTGGTGTCATTACATCCAAACCTACAAAATATATTAGAAATTAGAATTTTACTTCTTCTTTTTTTTTTTTTGGAGAGGTCTTTGCTATAGGGCACGTGCACTTGCCAGAAAGACAGAGAGAGACAGAAAGACAGAAAGTGAGAAATCATCCCCCTGGGGGATGGTCATGCCATCATCTCTTCTCCAAAAGGTTCTTGGGCACACACGCACACGTGCCTGGCGTGAGTTTAAGCCACCAGGTCCAGGACTCGAACTGCAGATGGCTACATGGGAGTCCAGCAACATAGCCATTACACCAACTGCTGGCCCCTAGACTGTACTTCTTGAATTGATTTCAGCTCTATTACTGGTTACTTTTGGAAGTTTCTAATCTCACTATATAGGAATAGTAATGTTAATCTAATTTCTGGGTAACAGTAGAAATAATTTGAGAAATTATGTAAGTATGGGCATGCATCTCTTCCAGTTAACATAAGGGAAAAAGGTATGTCAACATGTGAATTAATCATTTTAAATTTACCATATTTGCAGACAAAGAGCAAATAAAAGCAGAAAATTCAAATATCACTACAATGATGGAATTTGTTCTTTTGGGGTTTTCTGATACTCCCAATCTCCAATGGATTCTGTTTGGTGTATTTTTATTTATATATTTGACTATCTTGATGTGCAATAGCATCATAATACTAATAACAAAAATTGACCCTGCTCTCCACACACCCATGTACTTTTTCCTTGGCAACTTTTCCTTCTTGGAAATCTGCTATGTAACAGTAACTACCCCAAGAATGCTCATGGACATCTGGACTCAGAATGGACATATCTCTTTTCTTGCCTGTGCTATGCAGATGGGTTTTTTCCTTATGCTTGGAGGCACAGAGTGTGTCCTCCTGGCAGTGATGGCCTACGACCGCTATGTGGCCATTTGTAACCCTCTCCATTATGCTCTAGTGATGAACCACAAGGTCTGCATCCAGCTAGTGGCTGCCTCCTGGATCAGTACAGTTCCAGCTGTCATCGGGCATATATACCAGATTTTCTCTTTGCCTTTTTGTGCATCTCACATAATTAATCACTTCTTCTGTGACATTCCACCAATACTGAAGCTTGCCTGTGGGAACACATTTGTGAATGAGATAGCAGTCTATGTAGTTGCAGTGGTATTTATCATGGTTCCATTTCTTTTGATTGTCTTCTCTTATGGCAAAATTATCTGCAACATTCTGAAATTGTCATCAGCCAGAGGGAGGTCTAAAGCCTTCTCCACCTGCTCTTCTCACCTGACAGTTGTGGTGTTATTCTATGGAACAGGTGTCATCACTTATTTACAACCCAAACCAGATCAGTCTGAGAGAATGGGGAAACTTTTTTCTCTTTTTTATACCATTTTGACACCAATTTTTAATCCAATTATATATACGCTGAGGAACAAAGATATCATGATGGCATTGAGAAGACTAATAGCTAAGCTATTAGCATGAGGTAAAACTTTGATTTATAAAACTAGTGGGTTTATTATGTTTGTCACATGTCTGCAGTAGAAACACATTGTTAGCTTTGTTTCTATATTCCTAAACAATGATAATAAAATTACAGTGAAGCTCCCATAATGTCTAAAGAGACATTTCTTTCACAGAGTTTATTTAAGGGCCTTAGTATAATCAGTGGACAGATAAACCCCAGTGCTAGGATGTCAATTTGAAGATCAGTCTTTCCTTCATGGTTACGCATTGGGCTAAGACTGTCTGAGCAATAAAATACAAGTTATCTGTGTGTGTGTCTATTAGTGATTAGGGTCATGCTCTGTGATAATTGCTTTTGTTAATCTTCCCTTTCCTTCAGATGCATTTCCTGTTGTTTTCTGACTCTATGGTTTATTTATCCAATTGGACACTCCAGAAGCAGCAAAGCTGATGGAAGCAGGAGAATCAGGATTTCTTTGTATTTTCTCTTTCCCATCTCTTGTCCATTTCCTTTGAAGACTACAAACACTAAGGGTATGCACTACTTTACTAGTGCAGATCTTAATGTTCTCTGGTAACTTGATTCCCTCTGACTCTAGCTTGGTATTACTGACTTAGTACTGGAAGCTTCTAAAATTCTATCAACTATTCATTCTCATGTTCAATGGATTAAATGTTACCTCCTCAAAATTTGTCTCTATCTGATGTCTTCAAATGTATCCTCCTTTGGACAAAAAGAGTTTTTGTAGATGTAATTAACAAGGATTTTGCAGTGAGTTTACTGTGATTTAGTGTGGCATTAAATCCAATGGTATCTTTGTAAGAGAGCAAGAGATGAAGAAATTTAGAAAATAGATCAGGAGAAAACAAAAGAATGTCTCATAAGCATGGAGAAAGAGTTTGCAGTGATTCTGCAACAAACCCAGGATGTCCAACACCATGAAAATGTGAAAGAGGCAAGAAATTATTTTTCCTTAAAACATTCTGATGGAGCAATGCACTGCCAACACCATGATTGTGGACACTGTACTTGATAACTGTGAGACTTTAATTTTCTGTTGTTTCAAGCCATCCGTTTGAGGTAATTTAATGGACATCTATGAAAGCAGTACACCATGTAAATATTTCTCCTATTTAGGTTTTTTTTTTTTCCAACTCTAGAGTAATTCTGTATCCTGCCAGACCTCAGTTGTTATACCATTCCCACTCTCCTTCAATTGTTGCATGTTTTGAAGCATTTTGGCGTTTTATTGTGAAAAAAAAAAATAGAAAAATTACTCCTTTTCTTTACAAGCTGAATTAATGCAATCTTATTTTGAAAGAATAATATTTGCAGTTTTATGAACATGTGTTTGTAAAAGTCTGTTGACAACATTTGGTGTTCTTTTATATCAATTTAGCAATGCAAAGCAGAATGACTACCCATGAGTTGGCCCTCAGAATATGTTAAGACACTGGAGCAGATTTATTCCATATAATATTGTACAGCCTCTTAAAACAATGTATAAGAGCAGCTCTACTGAAGAAATTTCTTCTTTCCTAACATGTAGGAAAAAAAAAATGTATTTATGAAACATAACACTGTGAACATGAACCCAGAAGAATAGCACTCTAAAATTTCATATAACATTTTACATGTGCATGCTGGTAGTGGGTAGTGTGCAAGCTAACAATGTCTGGAAGGATGTAGATTAAAAGGAAATATTGGTTTTCTAGGGCCAGCAGATGCCGTAGCATATTTATTAAACAGAGGCAGTTTAATAAGAATGAGGGCATTCAGAATAAAAGATTTTCTGCTATTTTACATTTTTACTACTGTCAAAAAGTTTTTAAAAATATTGGCTTACAGAGTTGTCTGGTCCAGACACAATTAATGCTACTAGATTTTTGGTACATTATTCCAGTGATATTACATGTACTTAAAAACATCATATATGTTGATATGTTTACATTCTTTTTTTCCTGATTTTTAAATACAAATGCAGTGCTGGTATCCTAGGTAGGGACTTCAAAAGAATATGGAAAAATGGAACTAATATATAAGTTTACTTTGGGGCAAAAACCTTTAGAAAACCATTCATAGTATTTTCATAATACACATTTTCCATAAAATTTTGAAGATTCCTTCATATGTACCTTGCTCACTTTTTTCTTGTATTTAATTATAAACACACACAGACACACACACACACATATATATATATATATGAAAGAGAGAGAGAGATTTCAGCTATAGGGCATGTGTGATTGCTGGAGAGACAGAAAGCAATAAATCATCCTCCAGGGAGTGACCACACGGCAATTCTTTCTCCTCTGGAGATTTTGGACATGCACACACATGTGCCTGGAATGAGGTTTAAGCTGCCAGGTCCAGGACTTGAACCACTGTAAACCACTCAGAAGTCCAGTATTACACCCCTGGTCCCTAATATATTGTTTTAACATGTTCATAATTTATAATGATATGTCATCACTTAATACATTGAGAATTTACCACATAGTTACTATTAGACTTCAGCTCTGCTTTTGATCCTAGAATTTAAAATGGGGGAATATGAATGGAGATAATAAATTTTCTTTGATAATTATCCAGAGTCCTCTAGTTGCTAGGAAACAGGCCAAAAGGATAAAGAACTAATGTAACTATTTTCACATTCCAAAGGCAAACCAGCCATTAATTAGGGGACACAAAACAGAAAATCTAATGCAGCACATGATCACATATGAATATGGAAAAGGTAACAGTGCAGCATACTGCAGAAAATATGGTCTTTCAGTTAAGTGTCCTAACTTAATCAGATGTCAATTTGTTAAAATAAACTCAGAAACTTGACCCTTACATCACACAATTTTTAAAAAAGTAATTGAAGATAGTTTACAAACCTAATATGAAATATAACATGATAAATCTTTCAAACATAATGCATATTATCTTTATAAACTCGATATAGCAGAAATATTTTTAATACAATTACTAGGCACGTGTTAGAAAACATTAATAAGTTAAACTTCATGAAGGACTCTTCCTAAAAAGAAGTACTTCAGTGTCAAATTTTGCAACACACAAGGTTTAATTCTAGAATACACACATGCATATATTGTCTGTGTTCACTTTGCATAAACATATAATAGTATCTATACTAGTATAATATGTAGTAGTATATGCACTTATATAAGTATTATACTTTTATATATTACTTTTTCCTCTTATTTCTAAATTTTCTTTAATTAACCAATTTAAAATGGAAAAACTAAAACCATTTATTCTTTAAAATCTTATGTTGTTTTGCTATTTTTGTCTGAAACAAGTTCATTAAAAGCAATAAGTAAAAAAAAAAAAAAAAAATGGGACCAGCATAATGGTTCCATTACTGGACTCCCACATGGCTGACTGTAGTTCAAGTCTTGGACCCAGAGGCTTGAAACTCAGGCTGGGAGAGTGTACATGCATGTCCAAGATCCCAGGTGAAGGATGGAAGGAAAGGGATTGTGGCATGGCTATTCCTTCTGGAGGAGGATTTCTTGCTTTCTGACTTTCTGTCTCTTTTTGTGTCTCCAACAAGTGCATATGTCTTATAGCAAAAATCTCTCTTAAAAAAAAGGAAGTAAATTTCAACAACAAAAATATGATTCAAATTAAATGTTACTAATGAACCTCTTTGGAGAAATGACTTATATGAGTGGACAACTTAAATACAAGTCACATATAACTTATGATACTTGAAACAAAGAGGGAAATAACTAATATTTTTAGTTCAAATGTAGTGGGTCACAGAAGGCCAGTGTTCATGCAGTAAGTACTAGAAACATCTGGAATAAATGTGAGCATATGCAGCCTAGATACAGGAGGCAGTTATAAGTATGTCTCACTAATTTCTCACTTGAGCTTGCTGACACATGCCTTAGATACCAGAGGTTCTGCAGAAGCATCTACAGAACATGGGAAACATCCTGGCCCTGGCCAGTTGTTTACAATGTTTATTGCTTACACATTATTCTCTTTGATGCATACTCAAACAGTCCTCTGAGTAGGAGAGGAACAGCATAAGTAAACTGGGTTGACTTATGATGCATATCCATATCATACATGATAATAACAAGGTAGAAAAACATCTACACTAAAGTCCTTATCTCTAACTGTGGTATTTCAATTGCATCCTTGAAAGCTTGCAAACAGTTCATTGTGCCTGGTAAAATGTATAGATAAAGAAGCTCATCATGACTGAGCAGCACAGCTTGTCTGTGTTCACCTGCATCTTTGCTTTTGTGTCTTTCTTTCTCCTTTCTCTAAAACTTTTCCTTCACACAACCAAGCCCTGAGAGCAGATGCTGACAGTATTACCATCCAGAGAGATGTTACTCTTAAGCTTGCCAACAGAAGCCACAAATAAAATATAAAATTTATATTTGAAGGCATCCAATCGCTGGAGAAGAAAAAAAGTAGTAGCTGACAATATCAAAATGAATGTACAAGTCAGAGAGACATGACCCATGAAATGGCCCATGACGACTTGGTTTGCTCATTTGTAGGTATAAACAATAAAACTATAGCCTTGTCACTGCACAAGGATTTATACAGGCATAATTATGGATTGACTCAGAGTAAATGTAATTGTGGTGTTGATCAGTGATGTTAGATTCATATCCTTATATAGAATGCATATAATGCATAGATGAATGTCTTCAATTTGTTAAACTACACCATTATTTAGACTATTTTTTAATATAATTCATCATAATTTTAGTAGAGCACAACAGAGTTAATTTCTGTACTTTTTTCCTTGTTCCCGACTGAGAAAAGCATGCAAAAATGATGTCTTTGATGTTATACACAGGTAATTTCACTACCAAAAATGTTTGATGTGTACATGTAGAAATCACATTTTATTTAGCATTGGTAATTAGTTTGATAAAAATAAAATGATCTTTCCTGGGACCAGCAGATAGCATAATGGTTATGTTGCTGAACTCCCACATAGTGAACCTCAGTTCAAATTCCAGACATGGTGGCTTAAAAC